CCCTTGCTCGAGCACACGGCCGCGTAGATCGACTTCAACACCTTTCGAATTAAAATTAAAATTGGTTTTATTGCTCAAATATCTTGCAGATACATTGGCAAAATAAATATAAAAAGAAACATACAAGTACTGCAGTAGTGCATGAAGAGCTAGAAATATAAAATGGGAAAAGCAATACTGGTGATACACCTTGAAAGTTAAAATTTAAATAACTAAACAAATAAACTTTTAATAAAGTTAAAAGTTAATAAAATATCACAAAAATACAATACAAAAAGTGTTCATTATATACATATATATATACAGTATACATGGTGTAACAATAAACTAAGAATAACTTTATCTAGTTATACTCTCTTACTACATACAGTACACAATCTATTATCCGAAACCTTTGGGACCAGACACGTTTCGGAATTCGGAAATTTTCGGATTTCGGAATGGTAGTACACTACAGATATACATACTGTATATCCTGCAACTAGCCAATACAATTACTAAACCCCAAGTTTTCAAGAGGCCAAGTACTGTACCGGTACAGTACAATATGTATGAGTAATGCCAAACACATATAATATTCGTGAGGTCGAGTTTTCGCGCCAAACGCTTGCTTTGGTGCGCAGACGACCTTCACGGAAAAACTTTCGGTTTTCAGAGCTTTTCGGTTGTCAGAATTTCGGATACCAGATCGTATACTGTATAGTTAGTGTAGTTACCTTGCGCGCGGCGCTAACGAGCGGAAGCTGCGAGATGATGCACGCACACTTCGTCACGTACAGGCTGTCCTTGCCGATGTCGTAGAACGAGACGGGCACGACGACGGCGCCGTGCTGCGCGGCCGCGCGGTGCGCCTTCGGCAGCGTGTGCCGGCCGTCCGACGACTCCTCCGCGCCGGCGGCGGACGCGGCAGCGCGGTCACGGCTCGACTCACGGCTCGGGTGGCGCAGCAGCGCGCGGGACTGGCTGTTGGCGAGCTCGGCAAGGTGCATCGCGTGCAGCGTCTGCATCGCTGCGCATATCTGCCGGTTGTCCACCTGACAATGATGACAATGACAATGACAATTATGACAATGACAGTGATGACAATGACAATTATGACAATGACAATGATAACAACAACAATGATGACAATGACAGTGATGACAATGAAAATGATAACAATGACAATGACAATGATGACAATAGGCGCGTTCACACACAAGAAAAACCGCGCTGCTCAGCCCGCTAATAGCGGAGATAATAGTGAGCTAATTGTGTCGTTGTTCACACAGGCGAATATCTTGCTAATCGCCGCGGTGCAAATATCACGCCACGGTGCAAATAAGCGCGCTGATTCCAAATTAGTGCAGTCGGAAGTGTTCTTTATTTTGAGCGCGATTTAGTGAGCTAATTGCGTTCACACTTGTAAAAAGCTCAGTTTTTCGAGCGGGCTGCAAAAACCGGGTTTTGCAGCCCGCTAATTCGCGCCAGTGTGAACGCACCTAATGATTTTTTACTATACTGCTAATCAGACGTTGACATAATAATCTTACACGTTTTATCTGTTAATCGTTACACGTTACCTGCTCGTAGAACGTGTACGTGAAGCCATACGTTCGTGAGCCGTCCTCGCGCGTGATCACGAACGAGTGGAACGACGGGTCCCGGTGTTCCTTCTGCGTGCGGAACAAGAGGCCCTTCGGAAGGCACAGCTGCAGCGGCGGGGAGGAAGGGGAAGCAAATCGTCGTTAGTCACTTGCGATGCAAGTACACCATCACAACTACATATATACTAATAAATAATTAAACAGTGTAGGATTTTTGAAAACCTGTTATTTATTACTTATGCTTCATAATTACTCACTAATGTAAAAATTATTTAAATTAATAAACCACATGTGTCAAATAATTGTTTTGGTCGTTTTCTCTCAATTCTCCAAAATGGACGTAAGCAGTTTTGCAAATAAGCGAGCTTCAAATACATCCTATATATACAATATATATATCCTAACCCAAATCTAACCCTATCTCTAAAATCGTAAATAATCCAAACATATCTAAACCATGGCTCTAATATAACTATAACCTTAGTTATATATATATAACTATAACCTAATCGGAACTGTAGTCAGACCTAATCATAACTCTAACAGTAACACTAATCCAAGTCTAATCTCAACTCTAAATATATACTTTCCATAAACAGTAGTTAAGCAGTTTAATATTTCACAGTATGTGAAGGGAAAAACTTAGCACTGCAGTTCCTAGTTACTATGACATCACCTGTGCACTGCCCTGGGAGATCGCTAGCTGTGTTAATCAAGCTTATTATTATAATATAAAACATTGTCAAATTTCCTCGCTCATCGTTCAATTTTAGCCAAGGCCGTTAGTCATCCATTCGTTATTTGACGTTAATTAGCGACAATACATTTCCCTTTTTTCTTCCCCTGATTATTTTTCCCCAGCGAGTAGGTTTCCACTTACTCAGCATTTTGCATTACGTCGTTCGCTTCACTAGTCACGTATTCTCGAGACAACTCATATAACTCTGACAGCCTAAGTAAACCTGAAGGCGCGACTCTAAGTTGCGAAACCCCCTGACAGCTGCAGACGTGAGATGCATACACTTGTGCTACTCATTTATTTAAAGCGTTCTGACAATTCGAGTGAACAGACGTGCTTATGATGTCGGGACCATATATTTGTCACTGCATGTTGTTGTTGAAGCAGGCACAAGTAGGCCATTTATCCCTTATGCGGTAAATAGGTTGCATAAATAGAAATAGACAGCCCCGCTGCTGGCAAGGACATATGTGAAAACTATGCAAGTAACTGGAAAATCATAACGAATGAGGTTGTCTGATTTTAAAGACCACTTTATACTTTAATGACAACGGTTGTAAGGTTTCTAGGATTATTTCTAGATCAATTGGGCATTATCTACGATGCATACTAATTTTTACCCATCAATTAGTTGAAATCAAAAAATCATTTGAAAAACCATCATCAAAAGGGGAAATCAATAAAAAGCTTGTTTTAAACATCATTGCTGTGTGTTCTCTCGTATTCACAGTTAGTGTCATAAACCTTGTTTACTTGTAAGCTGGCTCTGACAGTATACATTGCACTATTCTGTTTTGTTTGTGTTCAAATGATACCATGAACATATTTATTCTCCATACAGTTCAGATCTATAGAAGTATCTATATTCTACATACCTACACTATACGTCACAGAATCATTTGGCATCAGCTATATGAAACAACTACTATGAATGGTTGAACTACAACTACTATGAATGAACTACTACTATACTTGAACTATGAACTATGCTTGAAACAACTACTATGAATGAACTACAAACAACTACTACAAACAACTACTATGAATTATGCATCAGCTACTATGAAACAACTGCAACTGCTCAGCTATCTTTAAAAGTATGTTTCAGTTATCAGTTTACTGAACAGTAAATATTAATATACAACATAAAAACCTAATTTATTGACAAATAATTTCAAAGGTTAGATTGTGCAATCTTATCAAAGAAAATTAAAATGTGGAACTTACCATGCCGACTGCACTTTGATCAAACATGTTCCAGGGTACATTTTCAGGAAAATGGCACAGAACTTTGGATTTGTATGGTCTCTCCAACGGTGAGATGTGCAAATTGTCACCTGAAAACAATACGTACACTCAGATGACTTGGAAGTTGCAAGATATGATATAGGGTCTACATTCTAAATCAGTGGTGTACGAGAGTACAGCAGTAAACACAGAAAGCTGTAGTAATGAATGCTACCTATAAATCTTGTACTCTATGTACAGTATGGTGGTTGCTGCACATGCTGTTGGGCTACAATATTGGGAATGATGGCATGACCATTGAGAATATTTTACTTTACATTACAAAAATATAGCTACTGTACTATAAAAAGTATAAATGATACAATTTTTCATATACATTTAGTTATTTTAGTATATATATACAAGCCCACACACAAACATACACACCTCAGCACGCGAGCACACACACAATTCCAGGTTTTTCGGATCATCCTACTTTTACATGAATATATAGTGACCTAGTAAGTTTTCTTTTTCCACTTTAACATTATCTGACTATCTAAGTATCTTCATCATTTTGAATACTATAACAATAATACTATGTCAGACTCATTTCTCACCTAGGCACCAGGCAGCAGTAGCCTTACCCCAGTATTCTTAATGCATTCCTACATCAATCCTCAAAATTGAGTTCCTTAAAATCGATTGTAAAATAGTGGGGACCAAGATAGCACTCTACCCTCAGACTCTTCAGCCCAAACTCCATGTATCAAGCACTATACTATAGTATTATAGTACTGCCCCTCCTATTCCCTGGGTTATTACTACAAATTACATTATACAGCCCCATTATAATTAAACCCCATTTGAATTAAGCATTACTATGCAATAGTCCAGCGTTGGTAACCTGCGAGTTGCGAGTACCAAATCTCGCTATAGTCTTTGTAATATTAATCGCTCATTATCAACGCATTATACTGGGGTCCAGTAGGGAAACTTATCGCCATACCACCATAGTATCGCATAGAATTGCATTTTAAATGCACAGATGTCCACGGAAACACGCTAGCCGGTTTTTATTGCAGACAAAACTATTTTTATTTTGATGTGAAATTGTAAAGCATAAACAAATAATGAAATATGTTTGAACTTGGTGTTGATTAGGCTATAGGATGAGTTTCAACCTGTGTGGATTAAAACTAGTTACTGTGGGGCAGTAATTATGTTATATAACTAGACTTGTTGTTTCCATGTGCATATTCATCACAACAGCAGACCTTGTGTTTTAAGGTGCGCGATCGCGCTCGCGCGCCATCGCGCGCCTCGATTGATCACGAGAAGTGCGAAAAAACGCGCACCTAAGCATTATCAAAACGCACACCTTTTTCTTTCTTTTTTTTTCTTTTTTTTTTTTCGTGTTTTATTTTTCATTAATTCAACTTATAAACTCGAAGATAAACGCAAATGGTTGTAAACATCACAGACATTGCCGGAAGTCGGTTCACATGTTTATAACGACAGTCGCAAAGCGCTCTAGAATGACGAATGTGATTGGTTGTATTTTTAGATAAAATTTTAATAGTCTACTTTGAAAAATTGAGTGTTGTTCCTTTTTGACTAAACATGCTAAATGTGTGATTCAAGTTATCCACATGTCCAAGAACTGATATTTTGTTAGATGAAAAAAAAATCACCTAAAAAATGTCAAAATTAATAGTACAAATGCAGAGCTAATTTTTAGCCCAAAATGCTGGAAATGGCATTTAATGATATTTAGTTTTAAAATTTTTTCCGGGGGGCATGCCACCGAACACCCCTAGTTTGCCTCGTGACCTGCGGGCACTCCGATGCAAATCACACACCTCGGCGAGCCAAGGTGTGCGATTTTTCACTCGCCTGCTTTTTCCAAAACACAAGGACTGTAACAGCTATACGATTAATTTGCAATACCAACGACACGATTATAAACTGCTAAACTAAACTAGGGTAGAGTGAGCCGGTGCAAATCCACTTTAGGCACCTTAGAGTTAGGTATCACGAAGTGATGCACAGATTTCTGTGTATCATCAACTGATGCACAGCCACAAACTTTCCGTATATCAGGGAATGATGCAAAAACCCTAACCCTAACCCTAATACAGTTCGTGATACCTAAGGTTATAGGCACCTACTTTATGACTTAGGGTTAGGGTTAGGGTTTTTGCATCATTCAAGGAATGATACGGAAATTCTGTGCATCAGTTAATGATACACAGAAATCTGTGCATCACTTCGTGATACCTAAAGTGGTGCCTAAAGTGGATTTGCGCCGAGTGAGCCTGCTGCCTAGTGAGTAGGCCTAGTGTTGATGTAAAATTTCACGACTCTATCTTCAAACTTACCTGAGAGTTGGTCAGGCTCCAGACCAGACGTCTGATCCAGCCCTGCCACTACAAAATAATCTGCAAATCTGCAGTTATTACTCCCACCACTTGATGACGACATTGCGTAACTAACTAAACACTAAAAATAATCAACAATGACCATATCTGAATTTCTTCTCCGTTGCTTACACGACCTCCATATTGTTTTCCATCACTGATTGACGTCGACACTGACGGTAGTGACTGCCATCTATCGTGCCGCGCGGTGAAGAGTAGAACTAAAAGTAAAAGGTTTGTAAGTTGTAACTGTGAAATTTCAACGTGTAAAATTGTGGTCATTTATAACGAGGTGATGTTACTTGTGATTTGCATAAACGATATGTGATTGTATAGCCTTCACTGCATTATAATATACGCTGGAATCTTTTGTAATTAGACAGTGTACTAGTAACATATGCAACATAGACAGAAATGTCAACAAACAGCATGTCCATGTGCCATGTGTTTACTCTGCTAGTATATATGCTATAGACAGTATATAGTATAGTATGGCTCAAGGGGTCGTTGTCGTAACAGGTACTACAGATATGTACCCGAGGTACATATATGTATACACAAAGTGTACCAGACTTGTACTACAGAAGAGAATTAAGTTACCCTATACCCTAACACTAACCTATCCTAACCCTACCCTACTTAACCTATACCTACTAAACATACCTCATATAAAAATATAAACATAATACTAAAACTAAAAACTACCGCGTAATATCTGTAGCTACTGTTACGAGCAACGACGCTCTCGTGATAGTATTGCTGGTAGTTTGTTAATATTATGGATCCCCCAGGGTACTGGCGCGAACGTTACCCTGGGTACGCCCACGCGTCCGAAATCCGGATAGTACCAGGCTACGTTGCGGATTTCCGGACCGTACCCAGGGTACGTTCCGGCC